AAAAAAGGTGCTCCAAATTTTTGGTATACAGTACGTAGGACCTTTATATTTTTGGTCTTCTTGGAGTATTTGCCCACCAGTGGAATCTCTGGATCAAAGGTTATAGAGTTGAGTCACTTTTTGCATAATTCCAAATTGAAATCCAGAACAATTAGACTCCTTCACAGCTCTACCAACAGGGTATGAATATGCCTGTCTTCTTGAAGTCCCTCCAACATTGGTTATTTCCATCTTTTGTCATTATTGCCTAACTGCTGAATGTGAGATACAACCTCAGTTGCTTTCATTTACATTTCTCTTAATATTAGTGATCTGGAGAAATCATTCATGTAGTTGTTAATAGTTTGTAATTTTTCTTTTGCAAACTGTTCATATCCTTTGATCACTTAATAGTAGCTATATAGGAATGACAGTTTCATTTGTGAGAATTCTTCATATGCCTTGGATATCAGACCTTTATTAGAGATATTTGATATATCTCTTGAGACTTTCCCTCTCTCTAACCTCGTTAATTTTGCTCATGCAAAAGCTTTTTGATGTCATATAATTGAAATGGCCCACTTTATCTTTTCTGAGCTCTTCTATTCCTTGTTTGGTAAAGAATTCTCCTCCTCATCATAATTGTGAAAAGAATCTCCTTCCATTTTCCTCCAATTTTTCTACTATATGACCTTTTGTATTTGGGTCAAATAACCATTTAGAGCCTATTGTAGTACATTTTGTAAGGTGCTGGTCTGTACCTACTTTTTTGCCAAACTGCCTTCCTGTTTTTTCCAGCAATTCTTGTCAAATAGGAAATCATTCCATAAATAGCTTATTTCTCAGCTCTCTCATATCCTGGGTTACTGAGTTATGATTGTTTCAAATTCTTGCTTTCCTGGTCTATTTCTAATCTGCTTTTTTATTTTTTTTTAACCAATGTCAAGTCATTTTCGATTACTGCTTTGTAAAATAGTTTGAAATCTGGAAGTGTTTTCCCCTTCATTCTTACTTTTAAAAATTTTTTTATTTCTCTTTCAATTTTAGAATTTTTTTTCTTCCAATTGAATTTGATTATGTTATCTAGCTCTACATAGTAACTCTCTTGGTAGTCTGGTAGGTAAAGCATGAAATCTATAAATTAATTTAGGTAGTATCATCATATTTCTTACATTGGTTCAGTTCAAACATGAGCAATCAATATTCCTTCAATTATTTGTCTTCCTTTATTTTTGTAAAGAGTCAGAGGTAATCAGGCAGAACAGACTATGCAATGGGATGGTGATGGGAGACGTAACGTCATATATACAGAACAACAAAGAGGCTGATTTGGCCGGAATGCAGTATGTGGGAGGAAGAGTAATCAGCCTGGAAAGATAGAATGAACCCAGATTGTAAAGGTCTAAATCTTGACTTCTCAACACAAAGACTAGATAAAAATATCCATCTTGCATCTTTCTAATACATTTGTGTCATTGTGTATTAAGATTATCTGCATTTATATCTTACCAAGCTATAAAATGTTTTCAGCTTTCTATTTCAATTAACAAACATTTATTTTTTTTGTCCCTTTTACCTCTCCCCTCCACTGGAACAACAAAAACAAAAACAAAACCTTGGTTAAAAATATCTGTCTGTGTATATACATATATGCATAATCAAGAAAACAAATTCCCATATTGGCCATATCCAAAAATGTGTGTTTTATTCTGCATCTTGAGTCCATCACCTGTCTGTCAGGAGGTGGGTAGCCTTCTTCACCATCAGTGCTCTGGCATTGTGGGTGGTCACTACATTGATCAGAGTTCTCACGTCTCTCGAAGTAGTTTATCTTAATATTGCTATTGTATAAATTGCTTTGGTTTTGTTCATTTCACTCTGCATCAGTTCCTACGGATCTTCCCAGATTTCTCTGAAACTGTTCTTTTCATCAATTCATTCCATAGTATATACTATAATTTATTTAGCAATTCCTTAATTGCCTGGTAACCTCTTAGTATTCAGTTCTTTATCACTACGAAAAGAGATGCTCTAAATATTTTTGTACATATGTATCCTTTCCCTCTTTCTTTAACCTCTTTAGGGTATAGGTTTAGTAGTGATGCCACTTGGATCAACAGGTAGGCAGTTTAATGACTTTTGAGAGGAAATATAGGGGTGGCCCTCTGAACCAAGGGAGGCGGCACCGTGTGAAGAAGATCACAGATCTATGGTAAAAATCAAAATCTGTGCCTTAGCACATTCCAAATTGCTTTCTAAAATGACTGGACCAATTCACTTCATCATCATCAGTACATTAATATGCACGTTTAGGCTGTTAAGTTCATGAAAGCAAGAAAGCATGCTTTACTGAAACTCTGGGCTTCCTCCACTGCCTATTATGTGATGTGCACACAGTAGGAACTGAATGTTTGTTGAATGAATGAATGAATTTGAACAAAGGGAGAAAAGACTGCTTAACATAACCAAATTTTAGGTGGGAGTGGAGGAGAGGGTATTGTAAGCTTTCCCTTACAGCAGCTGGTTTGAGATCTAGTGCAGTCTCAGATTTTCCAGGCGAGCATTTATTGAGTGTCTACTCTGTGCTCAGCCTTGTGCTGAACAATGCAGGGGGTTATACAGAAGTATCCCAAATGTCCTTACTTCCAGCCCAGTACTCCTTCTGCTACATTCTTCACTGACCTCAAGTGACCCCTAACTTTAATTCCTCATAAACTGTGGTATTCCATGACCAACAGTCATAGTCATTGGAAGACTATTAATGTTAACAAGATGAGCCATCATCTCAGGGAGAATCTTAGGATCATTAAGAGTAGCGAGCAACATTCTAGAAGTGGTTCATCTTGCCCTGCTCTTCAGTTCTGGGCTCTGCTCATTGTGTGCAGGAGGAGTCATATAAGGATGTCATTAAGGTGTTGTAAATGGAAAAGGAGGTAATTCGGTTGTGTAGTTGAGTATGTAGTCATGCTCAACTGGTATCCCCACAATGGGGGCAGCTAAGTGTCGCAGTGGATAAAGCTCCGGCCTTGGAGTCAGAATGACCTGAGTTCAAATCCGGCCTCACACACTTGACACTTACTAGCTGTGTGACCTTGGGTAAGTCACTTAACCCCGATTGCCTCACCCCAAAAAAATAGTATCCCCACAATGTTCAAGAATCTAGAGGAAGGTCTACAACCCCTTGGATGGCTCTCCTAAGGTAGCTTTACAATTGAAGAAGAGCTGTACAGAATAAGGAGGTATAAAGTCTTATAGTTTATTACATTTTCAGAGCCTTCTCTGTGAAAACATGCTCAGCCCTTGGGCCCTTCAGTCTGTCTGGATCCAGTCTGCCTTGGATCGTGTTGGCATTCTCAGGCCTAGGGCTATCACAGTCAGAATGACCGCTTGTTCAACTCCTGTTGGCTGCATTCTGGATGATCAAGTTTCCTAGTTGTGGCTGCTCAAAATCAGGTGGTATTCCATAGGTTTGTAGGGGTTCACGCCCAGAGTGGCTGCACAAAGCTATAGGGTGAGGCTGGTTTGTGGAGAGGGGGGTATATCACTTTGGACCCTAATGTCTCCTCACTGATCAAAGCTTTAGTCTGCCTGGTTCAAAGGCTAGTATCAGCTAGGATCACCTAGTCCCCAGGCTTTACTCATACCCGGTTCTCTTCCTACCTGTCTGACCTCTCCTCAGTTTCTTTTGCTGGATCTTCATCGAGGTCACAGCTGCTAACCAGGGGTGTCCTCCAAGGCTGTATCCTGGACCTTCTTCCCTTCTCCCTCTATACATTTTCATTTGGTGATCTCGTCAGATATGTTTCAATTATCATCTTTATGTAGATGATTCTCAAATCTATTTGTTCAGCTTAAACTCCTTTGCTGACCTCCGGTCTCATGTCTGCAGGTCCTTCAGTTTGATGACCTTGAGCAGCTACTAGTGCTGCCCATAGGTCGGTGCTGGGAGAGGAGGACAGCAAGGCTGATGGAGCAGCCGGCACCCACATCCTGAGCAGAACATGGACTTTGCCACTTGGCACCAGCTAGAGCAACAACCACCCTCCTGAAGAGGTAGCATGGCCTGGGGGAGAGCTGGCTTCAAGGCTAAGAAGACCTCTGCCATAAACTAACTGGGTGGCTCTGAACACTCTCAGGCCGGTGGTCATCAACATTTTGCTCAAGGGACCCCTTTACACTTATTAATTATTGAGGACCCCAAAGAGCTTTTGCTTAAGTGAATTATATCTACTGTTACCATATGAGAAATTGAAAGTCATGCAAATAGATATTAATTTAAAAATAATACACCTATTACAGGTTTTTAAAATATCTGTTTTTGTGAAAACACATTTTCCAAAACAAAAAAAATTCAGTGAGAATGGAATTGTTCTACATATCTGTGCAAATCTCTTGAATGTCTGGCTTGATTCTCTATGTGTTTGCACTATGTTGTTTTGAAGTATATGAAGAAAATCTGGCCTCCCACAGATAGGTAGCTGGAAAATGGTGGAGTACTTTAATAGGTAGAAGTAATTTCCTCCTCTGGGAGCTCCCGACATCATTTAAATTACAGGTCCAGTTGCTGACCCTAACCCTACACACATCACACTCTCTGGCCGTGGTTACTGGCTGCCTGCCCTGTGCGCCCTCCTCCAGGCAGGACTCCTAGATTGGCAGCAGAGTGAGGCAGAATGAAAGCAAAGGGAGACAGCATGGTGCTTGGGAAGAGGGCTGAATTTGGAACCAGAGGACCTGGGTTCACATCCCAGCTCTACTACTAATTGTCTGGTCGACTTTGGGGATTCTCAGGACCTCAGATCCCTCCTCTGTTAAGCAGACGAATGACGTGACCAGGCCGGCCACTTCCATGAAAGAAACCACGCAGGCGCTCTGAGGATCCCTGGGACCCGCCCTCCTTCCAGGTCTTCGCCAATCAGCGGGCCGTCCGCTGCGTGACGCCATCTCCGCGCGACGGAGGGGCGAGGAGCGGGCGGCGCACGGCGTTTCCTGGTAACTGCCGGTGCGGGGCCGCGGAGGGGATGCACGGCCTGGAGGTGCCCAGAGACCCGGAACCTCCGGCGGGGCGGGAGGTGCTGGGCCAGGCCGCCCGGCTCGCCTCCTCGGGGCTCCTGCTGCAGGTATTGCGCGCCGCCCCAGGACGCTGAGGCGCCTCCGCGCCGTGCCCCTTGTCCGCCGCTGCTGGGCCCGGCCTGGGCATCCCCGGGAGCCGGGTCCGCGACCTCCCCCCGTTTATCTTGGCAGGGAGGGAGCCGGGGATAGCTTTCGAACGAGCTGGGACCCCTGGGTTCTATTCGTGGAACAAGCCCCTTCCCCATTTGGGGACTCAGTGCCCTTATCGGGGCAGCTGGTGGTGCAAGTGCCAGACCTGGAGTCAGGAAGATCTAAGTTCAAATTCGGCTTCAGACACGTACTAGCTGTGTGACCCTGGGCAAGTCACTTCCCCTCTGCCCGCCTCAGTTAACTCATCTGTAAATGGGGATAATAATAGCACCTGCCTCCCAAGGTTGTTGTGAGGAGCAAATAAGATAATAATTGTAAAGCCTGGCACATAGTAAATGTTAACTTATCTCTTAGAACCTTGAGCTGGAAGGAACTTTAGAAATTCTGTTTTCCAGACCTTTCATTTTACATGGAGAAAGAAAGGGATTTGCCGCTGGCAGCAAGTCAAGTGGCAGACCCAGGTCTCTGGACTCCCACCTTTCCTCCCCTCTGAAAATGGGAATAATAAGAGTTGAACATTGATATAGTCCTTAAAGCACTTTATGTAGACTTTTCTTATTTGATCCTGCAAGAACCTTAGAAGGTCTATACTACTAAGCATTATTCTCCTTTTAAACTGATAGGGAAACTTAGACTTGCTGAGGTTTTTAAGTGAATTTTTTTTTTTAACTTTTAAACCACACTACCCTGACACCCTCATAAAATGGTTGTGAAAATCAGATGAGATAATGGATTAAAAATATAAACACCATAGGTACATAAAGGATTGTGTGAGGTTTTTAAATTGCCAATTCAATCAGATGAATAAAAATTTTAAGTGGAAAACACAAGTTGGACCACCCCACATACCTCTAAACACATAAAGAGTTATAAGAACCATGTTTGTTGTATTTGTTTATTGTTTTTTATCATAGGTTTTAGAGCCAGAAAGGACCTTAGAAATCATCTTATCCTATACCTTCAAAATATGAAGCCTGAGGATGATTTGCCCCCAAGGTCCCCTGACTCTATCCAGTGCTTGTTCAGCTCTACAACCAAACTGCCTTTGTTTCCTTCAGTTCACATTTCTTTTCTTTATTAATGTGTGTTTACATCTTGTCCTAAATTTGGCCATCTTAACATAGTAAGTTGTTGTTTATAGAACACCCTGCGCAGTGCTTTGTGCCAAGAGTTGTTTAGTAAACATTTGATTACAGTTTGTTTCTTAGATTGAGAGGTACTAGGTAAATATTTAAAAGTCACTATCAAGGCACAAATGGTACAAGGACACACTAACCAGTATTAGGCTGAAGGCATCATCTCCCCTTCTATCATGTACATCTAGATTGAGAAGATTATGCAATGATATCTCTTGCTTTCTTTGTACCCACAAATTATTTAGCTCCTGTGTTCCTCAAAGCCTCAAATTTCTATGAAAATCTTATTTGACTTTGGGATTAGAATATAGATGCATGATTTTACAATAACCACATATTTAGCATTCTTAAAATGCCCTTATCTAATCTTGTATGGTATCTCAGCTTCACCTATGGAAATGTTAGTGATTGATAGCTTTATATTTAAAGCCACAATTCTACAGGTATTTATTGAGCACCTAGTAGTGCTTCCAGTAGTTGGGGGTGGGAGGATAGGGGAGAGAAAGAGGGAAGATAGTAACACTCTTCATTTTTATAGTGCTTTTAACTTTTTCAAATTACTTTCACATCTGGTATTTAACTTGATCCTGAATAATAACCCAGTAAAGGAATCAGGACAGTTATTTGCCCTATTTTACAAATAAGGGAACTGAAGCACAGAGGTAAGTGATTTGTTGAAGAGAGACAGTGAAGAAGTTATTACCCTTAACCCAAATCATTTATTTATTTATCTGCTTATTTGTTTAGCCTGACTTTGTAATTTGTGTGTCAGAGTTAGGAATTGAACCTAGGTCTTCCTGGCTCTGGAGTCAGCTCACTCATCTACCACAGCATGCTGCCTTTCCCAGTGCTTTTTCCACTATCCTCAGACACCTACCTTTCATTAAAGGCTTTTAAGCAAACAATGGTATGTTACTTTGCTTTAATTGTCATACCTTTCTCCTAAAATGTTCAAAAGATTTGATTTATTTTATCTTAAGAATGAAATGAGTTAAATCCTTGCCAGGTATTGAGTTATAAAGATTGAGATATTCCAAATCCCTATTTTTACAAATGGGCAGTTTGAAGTAAAAAACATGAAGTGCCTCATCAGATTCATTAAATGAAACTGTAGCAACACCAACTCAGTGATTTCCATATTTCTTGTACTGAGTTGGCTGAGCCCTATTGTATCTCAGGTTCTATATATATTATATGTATAAACACATTACAACTTTCCAGTTAGAGGGAATGCCAGTATGGTTCCAAAACTAGGGTTCTCTTCCTTGCCTTCCTTTTTACCTAAAAATAACCACTTAATATCCCTATGATGATCTTTTCTGTAAATTGGGAATGGTATAAAATACCTTCCAGGTCACCTCTTCATACCTCTTCATAGGGATGTTTAAGAAGAAAATGAAAATCCAGTTGCAATAGTATGTAAATCCATTTTATATTATTTACATGGGTTTAGTGAGATTGTATCTCTGTTCATATGGCAGGAATTTCAGTGTTATTAGGATTCTGTTCTGACATTTCTTTGTTTTGTAGGTCTTGTTTCGTTTGATTACCTTCGGTTTGAATGCATTTATACTTCGATTCCTTTCAAAAGAGATAATTGGAATAGTAAATGTAAGGTAAATAGAGACATACTTTAACATTGTCCGTACCCAGTGTCTCTAGTTGTGTTTTTCCTTAGACTTTATAACAGCCTGTGCCTCCCTTGGTGTTTTTGTGGTTTTTCTTTGTTTGTTTGTTTGTTTGCTTTACTGTTGTGGTAAGGAAAAGCCATGACTGTGGAGTAGCTGAGGAGATAATTGATTTTAGTTTGAATGGACACAAGGATTTGTTTTCCCTGCCAGGTGTTCTGTTTTGTGTGCTTTCAGAGCCCCCTAGGGGATTTGTGGAGGGGAGGAGGGTGATTTAGTATAAACATGTGGAAGAAGTCCCATGAGGAGTGATTTCTGCTATGGGGAAGGATAGAGATTTGTTTAATCACAGGGCCAAGCAGCTAATCTATCATCTTTTTAGGTAATTATAATGAGTAACTGAGGAACAATTGGAATATAATAGTTTTAAGAGTGGCTCTGTCTCCACTTTTGTTACTGTGGCATAACCTTCCTTTGGTTTGCTAAAAGATAGTATACTTCTGAAGAGAACTGCTCTTCTGCCATCCTAGCTTTTGCTACCCTCTCCCTCTATTACAGAAAGGAAACCAAATATACTTTTAGATGTAGGCAAGGACTTTGTTGTATTCCCCACAGCACTTAGTTCACTCTTTAGCTCAGTAAAGACTTACTACTAAATTGAATTGTACTAGTCTCATTCTAGTTGATAGTTTAAATACCTGTCCAGAGTGTCACTCTGATTCTGTAGTCTCTTTGCTAAACAAAGCATCAGGTACACTCCCGTTGGCAGGAGAACCGATGGCATCGGTATTGTGAATAGTACTAAATAGCCAGAGAGCTGAGGTGGTGGTGTCCTTTACCTCTTCATACACAAAGACATCTTTTCCCATGGCCATGATGTCTGCAGGCTATTGAATAACCCTCTACTTCCCTTGAGTCTTAAAGCTGACCATGGCCTGTATAGATGCACACAAAACTCTTATATATATTCTTTGTCTTGATGCACACCTGGATGTGGTCTCTGAAAAAATGCTGGTGATGACAACTGTCTTCTCCTCTACACTTAACCAGTGGTAACAGAATCTGACAACTGTCTTCTCCTCTACACTTAACCAGTGGTAACAGAATCTGATTTTGTCATGGTACTGGCAAATTCCTAGGAATTATTATTGTGAAGAAACAAGCATGATCTTGCTGCCCCCTGTTTTTCTTCTTTAGGTTAACATTGCTTTACTCGACTGTCACCTTCTTAGCAAGAGAGGCATTCCGCAGGGCATGCCTGAGTGGGAGTACAAACCGAAACTGGAGCCAAACAATCAACCTCTTATGGCTAACGTAAGTTGGGATTTGGTAGAGAAAAGAGAGGTATCGGATTGTTTGGGAAAACTGATTAAATAGTAACTCCTGCTTCATTACAACCAGGTTGTTTATGAATCTAGTTTTCACATGTGGTTTCTCAGAACATCAAGTAGTGGCAGGAAGAAGAGAAGCTTGCTGAATGTCTGATAAAGGAACATCTTTGATTGCTTTAATGCTTTGTATGTTTTTGGGTTCCTAGAATTTTGTTATTAATAATGCTTTTGGTTATTTCCACATACCCTGTAAGTCACAGGACCAAAATTTTTCTGGTATTTTTGATTTTCAGATATATCTTGGGAAGTTAATATAATTAGTTAATACAGATGAATTTCTTATATGGGTCATGTTGATTTTTAAATTTGTATTATAAATTTATGATAATACTGAATTTCCTTAATGCAGATGTTTAAATTTTCTTTTAGAGTCCCCTTGGGTTTGTTTTGGTCCTTGTTCCTGGGTTGGGTCTGGTCCCAGATCCTTGAAGTGCCTGATCCTAATGTAGTACCCAGTTATGGAGTTGGAGTGGCAGCGTTTGGTCTCTCTGCAGTGGTTGAACTCTTAGGAGAACCTTTCTGGGTCTTAGCACAAACACATATGTTGGTCAGGCTTAAGGTTAGTACATGGTCTACTTTGACAGTATGAACAAAATGCCAAAAGGAAGAGAAAAGATTACTTTGGAGAGAGAGGGGTTTTTCTAGTTCTGTACTTAAATGAAGTCAGAAAAGAGGATATCGGTATAGTACAGGTAAAGTTCGTTAAGTTGGATTCCACTCATTTGATGTCTTAGAAGAGGGCTAGGCCAAAATTGACTTACTATTATGATTTATGAAGAACTGGTTTAATAAGCAAAGTAATATTGTAAATAAGCATATAAGAAGTTTGTGTGAGCTTTTCATATTTTTCTAGTTGTTCTTCTTAATTTTAGGCCGAGGTTAATCTTTTAAAAATGTTTTTGCAGGTGATTGCTGAAAGTTTGTCAATAATCCTCAAATGTATTTTGACAGCTGTTTTAGTTGTGTGGTTGCCTCACTGGGGACTTTACATCTTTTCTTTGGCCCAGGTAAATTTCATAGCTTTTTAGATTTTTATATAATAGCCATTTTAAAAAATTCTCTTCTTTTTTCATGTCATTTATTCTTTTAGTTGATTTAAATAAATAGTCTGCATCCTCATAGAAATGTTAGACTATTAGTTTTGTTACTATTTCATCTTTGGTTGTTACCTCTATGGGCTTCCACTGGAAGCACAGAGATTCCAGGTGTTTCTTGGTAACTTGGTGTGTTCTGCAAGCCTGGCCTGTTTAGGAATTTTAAATAGGGGAGAAAGGGAAATAGGGACCCTGAGAAGCTTTCTGCAGAGTAGCGAGTTCAGAATCAGGTCTTATTTAACCACTTAATGAATAGCCGGTGCGAGAGCTGAAACAAGCAAGAAGAATATGCCTTTATGTAAAATACTTCTAGATTGTCTTGGAAATGTCTGTGCCAGACTGATATTTTGTAGTGGGTTTCTCCTTTGAAAATAGTAAGCCTAATGGAGAGGGAAAGAATCAGATTGAATTCATTTTTCTTTTTGGGGGTTTTGCACAAGTTCATATGAATCAGGTAGAACTTCTTACAAGTTAGTTTTATCCTCATCTTAAACTTTGTCTTTAATAAGTTGACCTAAGATTTATTGATAAAATGGCAAAGTATTGGGTTTAATTCAGAAAACATTCATTAAGCGCTTACTTTGCACAAGGCACCATGCTACTAAGGTTACAGAAGTTTGGTAACTATGAGCCTAAATTAGGTTTTTTAAAGAATAGCCCTTGTATCTTGGCTTTATAATTTATACTTAATGCAAATAGAAAATTACAAAATTAAAAAACTAAGTTTGATAAAAATTGAAGAGTTATTAGTTTTGAAAGTGGAATATTGGTGGTCAAAAATGAGTCTTTGAGTCATTGAGATGTTAGATTCATTAGCCTGTGAATCACTGCTTGTGATCCCAGGAAAATACTTTTTTGACCACAGTTGACCAAGAAACATATGCTGAAAGAATTTGAAGGACATGAATATGGGACACAGAAGATAACCCTCTGGCAATTGCCTTCCCTGACCCTCTTCATCCTTCTTCAAGGACTCACTTAGGTTCTACCTTATCTACAAAGCCTGTTTAACCATTGCAGCCCCCAGTGAGCCCTGGCCCTCTGTGAGCTGTAGCATGGATTGCCTCTATCACTCATTTGACACCTATTATCTACTACTTTATAATTTAGTTTGTTATCTTTTTAATGTATATGAGCTCTGACTCCCTAACTTCAACCCTCCCTGAGGACAAAGACCATTTGTATTGTCCAACAGTACTTATACCCTGAGGCCCTGCACGTAGTAGGCATTTAGTAGATATTTGTTTATAGTTTGATTGGTCATGCTTGATTAGAAAAGGCAAAGCTGTAGTACTGTCTTCTGTTTTTCACAGTTTTGTGATGAAGTTCCTTGAATAGCTCCCTGGCACACCACACCCTGGCATGTAAAACTATTTTTAGGGAAGGCATAGTCTTCTTGCTTGTTTCAGTCCTTACACAGGCTATGTGCCAATTCATTAAGCAGTTAAATAAGACCTAATTCTGAGTTCACTGCTTTGCAGGAAGCCTTCCCAGGGTCGCAATTTTCCTTTCTCCCCCATTTAAAATTCATTTCAGAGATTCTACTAGGTTACTTTGTAAGTCAAGAAAAAAACGTTACACTTTAGTATAATAGTGAAACCACCACCTCCACCCCTGCCTACTATAGTAATATAACCTCACTTTCACTAACCTACCTCCTTCCTTTCCTCAAACTAATTATCTTGCTTGTTCCCAAGTGTTAGTAGCAAATGTTCAGTAAAATACACAGTAATTAAGATACATTATATTTCAAGTGTTCATAGCTTTTGCCCACTTCTGTATGGTTTCTGGCCAAGGGAAATTGCTGCCTACCATTGTGAGCACTTGTGACACTTTTAGTAAATCTGCATCTGTCTCTAAGATAATAGAAAAGTGGAAAGGCAGGAATTTTCTCTTTATCATATTTTTCCCATGTTCAAGCTTCTTGTCATAAGAATTTATTGGTGATTCTTTTGTTAAGGTAGGGTGAAGCAAAAAAGCCTGTTGTGGGGGGAGGGTTTTTCTCTTTCTTTCCTTCTTTTTTGGCTGAGACTTCTCCCTCCATTGCATCAGGGGCATCACTGGTGTTCTCCATAAAAAAGGAAGAGATAGAAATAGTGCCCCTGTTCTGAGAGCTGCCATTTGGTTCTGTTCTCAGTAGGGAAAGGGGACAAGTGGACACTTATGAAAATGTTCTTTCTGTCCCCTCACCCAGCCTGAGAACAAACATTCCTGCCTGCACCTCCTGGCCAGCCTCTGTAGCTGGTCTTTGTCTCCAGGATGGGTGGAGGGAGGAGGGACCTTTCTTATCAGTCCTCCTCCCATCCTGCCAACTGTGTACTTGAGAGGAGAGGAGAGAGCTGGCAGCTTCTCTGCAAATAAAGCAGATGTGGAGTCCTTTTTGTAATCATAAATTCCACAGATTTCTGGAATTTATGGAAAGTACTCATATAAAGGTAGAAAATCCCTAGGCCTCAGTACAATCAGGTACTCACAGACAGAGCAATTGTGAATGCCCACTTTTTGGGTGTTGTAACTATACTACCCAGTCCAAACACTAATCTAGTTTGTCTGTTATCTTATTTTGCTATGGAGAGTTGAGTAGTGTGGTATTGTCCGAAATCATGTTCCATCTAAAGTTACTCATGTCACTTTGGCTCAGCAAAAGTTAGGAAATTTCTTACTGTTCTGTAATGTTCTTGGGTGCTATTGAACAGTGGCCATGTTTTTTTCTGTTGGGTATAGCAGTTCTCTATTGAAGTGATCATTTTATCGATAAAACTGGATGAAAATGTATGATCAGTGATCGCTGGATGAAAAATTCTATGGAATCTTCAATAACAATTTTATTTCTTGATTAGCATTTGAAGTTAAATTTAGCAGATGCAGCAACTTGATCTTACTTTAGTTTGAAAAAACCATTTTGTTTAAATTCGTGAAATTCACTTTTCTCTTTTTTTTCCAGCTTTTGTATACTACTGTTTTGGTGTTCTGCTACGCCATTCATTTCATGAAGTTAACGAATTCCCAAGAATCAACCAAGAAGTCTCTTCCAATCTCAAGAATGACAGATTTCTTACCTCACATCACATTAGATGGGGTAAATAACCAAAGTTCACCTATCATCTTCACTTTAATCATAGGCACTTGTTCCATTCTTGGGGGAAGGAAACTAGAATTGGTTTACCCTTCTAATTAAATCAATCTATTCCTAACTTGACTTCAGCATAGACTCTGTTACTTGTAGAGTGACAAAGGAAGGCCATAAAAATAATGTTACTTTATCGAAGTATAGGCTTATCTTTTCTACTGAGGCACTGAAAGTATCTACTAGGATTATTTGTTAAATATGAACAATTCCTTCCTCATTTGGGATGTTTGGAATTCTCGATACTGATATTTGAGAATAAAATAGTCTTTTTCTGTTCAAATCTCTACCTCATAGTTCACTTAACTATTAATAATTGCAGTTTTGGAAGTCATAAAATTCTAGAGTTTAAAGGAACCTCAGAAGTTATTTAGGCCAAACCCTCCCCAAAGCACAAATCCTCTTTATACCATTCCCAGTCAGAGATTGACTTGGAGTCTTTACTTGAAGATCTCCAATGATAGAGAACTGTCTGCACTTCCTAGTGTGCCCCTCACCCTCCCTCCTCCCCAAGGCATTTTGCTCCATCTTCTCAATGCTGCTTTTAAACTGTGGACCACAGCACACCAGATCTGGTCTCACTAGGGCAGAGGAAAGTCAGGCCATTGTTTCTCTCACTATGGAAATTATACTTCTGTCTGCAGAGTCTAAGATGGCATCGGCTTTTTTGGATACTGTAACTCATTGCTGACTCACGCCAAGCTTTCAGTTCTCCAAAACCCCTACGGTTTTTTTCACACAAGCTTCTGCTTAGCTACACCTCCCCCATTTTGTACTTTATTTGTACAAATTTTTTTTTTAAATCTCAGTGACCTTATGTTTATTCCTATCGTATTTCATTTTGTCAGCTTCAGGCCATGAGTTCAGTCTGTCAGGATCATTTAAAATCCTAGTTTTATCATCTAAACCATTAGCTATCCCTCCCATATTTTTGTCATTTGTATATTTGATAAGCATACCACCTGTTTATTCATCCATGTTATTGATAAAAATGTTGAATGAGATGAGGTCAAGGACAAGATCTGTGGTACTCTGTTAGAGAAGACCGTTCAGGTTGATATTGGCCCATTAATCAATTTTGAGAAACCATTTAACTGTACCATCATCAAGTCCCCTTCTTCCTCTTGTCCACAAAGATATCCTGAAAGACTTTATCATATTCTTTGCCGGAATTAATGTGTGCTTAGTCAATGGCATTTCCATCTTTGTGTTTGCCATGATCCCTCAGTCTTCCAGTAGCAGCTTAACAATCACATTTGCAAATTCTTTCTGTATTTTGGGATATAGTTATTCATTTCAGGTGATGTGTACTTAAAATGAAGGTAATTAGGTGCTCTCTGACCATTTCCGTACTTCTCTTGGGTTTCAGTTCCTTATTAACAATTTTTATTTTGCTGTTACTGGTCTGAAGGTTATTGGTTGTGAAAAATAGAAGCATGATACAGTTAAACAGTTTCCCGTTCTGCCGATCTTTTTTCATTCTCCCTTCTCACCTGTCCTTCCCCTGAGCAGATGTCCTGTCCTTTCTATGTTCTTACCGTTGAGTGTTGGCATAGCTTTAAATAGCTTCTTTTGCTGTGTTTACCATTTATTACATATCTCAGTTCATAATGTACTTTATCCTTCCAATACTCTGCCACTCTTTTAATACCTGCTCTTTCTTGCCTCATGAATGCCCTTGTAAAGTCAGTCAGTAAATAAATGTGTGTGGTGGTATTAGTATCCTTTGGTGGCTCTTTCATTTTTCAATATTAGATTCAGTTAGAACTCCCTAGCCATAATTTCCTTCTTGATAATCTCTCATCTCTCTTTAAAAAATACTAGATTTTTGGGGGGTATCTTTTGTTTTTATGTTGTCTAGATTTTGCCCTGCATCTTTCTCCCTCACTGTCTCCCCCCTTCCAGTTATTCCTTATGACAAATATATTTTTTTAAGAACCAAAGTGATTTTTATTCCATAAATTAACCCATTTGTTATTGGACTATGGGCTGCAGATATTTGATAAGAAGATTTTACTGGTCTTTCAATTCCTTCAGTGTTCTGATGGCAGATTTGACAGTGACTGCAGAGGTGGTATTGTAGATCCATGCACCACCAGCTACTGTCTTCATACAGGATCCACAATGACAGATACCCACAGCCCATCTCTTCATTTTGGTCTTGCCACAGAAGGAGCAGGTATACTTGGCATGCTGGCTAATTTCAATTTTTTCACCATTTTTCTGAGGGATGCACCTTAACCGTGTTCCATATTTACCAACAATTCTGACCTTCTTGGTACGTTAGCCATGTTGCCAGTTGCTGGGCCAGAGCTTGGAGAAGACAAATATTTAAAAAGATAAAAAAGAGGAAAAAAGTCAGCAAAACCAATCAAGATATCAAGAAAACCTGATAAGATATGCAGTGTTCCACACCTGTGGACCTCCACCTCAGTCTTCTCAGATTGTCTCTTTGGGGCTAAGCTTGTTCTTGATACTTTTGAAATATTCACTTTCAGTTGTTTTGTTGTGTTGTTTCTATTTATGTTGTTGCAGTTATTGGTTATATTTTTTTCCTAACTCTGCTCACTTTCATTTTGCATCTGTTCATGTAAATCTTCTCTATAGTCATCATGTTTGTAATTTTTTGTAACACAGTAATAGTCCATTATGTTCATGCCCCAACGTTTGTTTAGTCAATCCCCAATCAATAGCCATCGACTTTGTTTCTAATTCTTCACTACTATGAAGAGTGCTGCTATAAATATTTTGGTGTGTATGGAGCCTTTCTTCTTATCAACTACCTGCTTGAGGTTCTTGCCTAGTAATGGAGTCTCTGGGTCAGAGAGTATCCCATCTCTCTGATGCCCAGTTTCTGGTTAACATCTCAGATCCCTGGGTTCTACCTGTCTTATATCTGAAACCTTATTAATCTGCTTTCCTAAAGTTTTGGGTATATGGCAGACAATGCCTACTGCTCCCTTTTTTATCTGTTGGGAATTCTAAAATTGTGTGATTACTACCTCCCAAGTTGCCCAGTGTTTCTAATCCATGGCTAATTCCTCCTTATTGGTCAAAATCAAGTCTAAAGTAACAGTTTCCCTAATCCCTTCTTCCTTTTGAAGGAGCATCCTTTGAGTACCTCTCCATGTAATGGTGCTGTTTACTACTTGGCATCATTTATATAATTGTAGTCCTAATCAGGTGGTTTCTGAAGACTCCTTTGGTGAGGCTGTCCTCAGCTAGTCTGCTTTTCCTTTGCCGTCCTCTTTTTATCTTTGTTTTCTAGAACTAGAACAGTTAGTTAATGGGGCAGAGTAGTGAAGGGATTTGTACTTATTCTCTTCCTATAGTTCTTGAAAAAGATAAAAGAACATATAGAATTTAGCCCTCAGAAGTTCTTGAATTCTGTTGTAAAGCTTTCTATGGGAGAACAGGTATTTCTTAAGCTTAAACCTACTTAACTTATATGGAAACAGTCAAGACCAAATGGCTCTTATATACCTTGTCTAATTCCTTATAATTCTTTTCTTTTCACTTAAAACAGAGTAAGAAAATATAGGGTCTCTTTTTTTTAAACATATTTTCACATTAGTCATGTTGTAAGGAAGAATTAGAACCAATAGGAGGAACCACAAGAAAGAGGAAACAAAACAAAACAGAAGAAAAAAAAAAGAGCAAATAGTATGCTTCAATCTACATTCAAACTCCATAGTTCTTTCTCTGGATATGGATAGCATTTTCTATCATGAGACTTTTGGAGATCCTTACATTGCTGAGAAGGGCTAAGTCTATCAAAGTTAGTTGTTGCACAACGTTCTCCTTGTTCTGCTCACTTCTCTCAGCATCAGTCCATACAAGTTTTTCCAAGTTTTTTTGAAGTCTGCCTGCTCATCATTTCTTATAGCACAATGGTATTCCATTACATTAATATACCACAACTAGTTTAGCCATTCTCCAATTGATGGGCATCCCCTCAATTTCCGATTCTTTGCCACCACAGAAAGAGCTGCTATAAATATTTTTGTACATGTGGGTCCTTTTCTCATTTTTGTGATCTCTTTGGGATGCAACCCTAGAAGTGCTATTGCTGGGTCAAAGGGTATGCACATTTTTATAGCCCTTTAGGAATAGTTCCAAATTGCTCTCCAGAATGGTTGGATCAGTTCACAACTCCCCCAACAATGTATTAGTGTTCCAGTTTTCCCACATCTTCTCCACCATTTATCATTTTCCTGTTTTGTCATGTTGGCCAGTCTGATAGGTGTGATGTGGTACCTCAGGGTTGTTTTGATTTGCATTTCTCTGATCAATAGTGATTTAGAGCGTTTTTTCATATGACTATAGATGGCTTTAATTTCTTCATCTGAAAACTGCCTGTTCATATCCTTTGACCATTTATCAATTGGGGAATGACTTGTATTCTTATAAATTTGATTTAGTTCTCTATATATTTTAGAAATGAGGCCCTTATCAGAGATACTGGCTGTAAACATTCTTTCCCAGTTTTCTGCTTACCACCTAATCTTGGTTGCATTGGCTTTGTTTGTGCACAATCTTTTCAATTTAATGTAATCAAAATTATCCATTTTGAATTTCATAATGTTCTCTATCTCCTGTTTGGTCATCAATTCTTCTGTTCTCCATAAATCTGACAGGTGACAATTCCTTGCTCTCCCAGTTTGCTTATAGTATCAGCCTTTATATCTAAATCATGAACCCATTTTGACTTTGTTTTAGTATATGGTGTAAGATTTTGGTCTATGCCTGGTTTTTGCCATATTCTTTAACAGTTTTCCCAGCAGTTTTTGTCAAATAGTGAGTTCTTATCCCAGAAGCTAGGGTCTTTGGGTTTATCAGATAGTAAATTACTATAGTCATTGACTATAGTGTCTTGCATACCTAACCTATTCCACTGATCCACCACTCTATTTCTTAGCCAGTACCAAGTAGTTTGGATAATTGCTGCTGTATAATACAATTTAAGATCTAGAATGGCTAGGCCACCTTCCCTAGCATTCCTTTTCATTAGTTCCCTTGATATTCTGGACCTTTTGTTCTTCCAAATGAATAATACAGAGTCTTCTTGACCTCATTTTTTTCATCAGGCTAAGTTTTCTTTTATCACACTTAAGTAAAAAACCTATTCAGTAAGGTTTCAATGATATTAATCATACCAGGAATGTCTAATTCATACCAGGAATGTCTAATTCATACCAGAAAGTCAATTTTGAAGACATTAATAAAGTTCTTTCCAAGGTAGTGTGAATAACTTACCTATGTAGTACCCAACAAAAACTGCCTAACTTGTGAGGCTTTTGGAACTGATTCTTCCTTAAGGACATGCCCAGGACTGCAATATGGTAAATGTTTGCAGATGGGAATGGTAGAGTAAATAGCACTATTCTGTCACTAAGGGATCAAAGCCAAAAAATAAAAGGTAAATAAAATGAGAGGTGGAGATTTGGGTAAACAAAAGGGTATAAGGCAATTTTACAATAAAAAATTTACTTTATGAAATTGTCTAAACTGGTTATTTTGTGAGGTTTTTTTTGAAAATTGAGAATTTCCTTCTAAAACAGTTTAAAAAACATCAAAGAATGTTACATTTAGAACAAAAATCTAAGGTAGAATTATTACATCCTACTTTTTGTTCTTTGAATCCCAAGTGAATATGTTAATGAAATTAATGAAGTTACTGGAATTTAAAATTGTTTCTGCCTATGAAACTCAGATTTTTAAAAATCTTTTAATCTTAGAGATGTTTTAGATTATAGTAAAAGAAAACTGAACACCAGCATGAACCCAAAGGCCTGTAAAAATTCTCTAGGGACAGTTTGGCCAATGTAGAGAGAACCTAGTTAATAAGACTGTCCTCATGGAGAGAAGCGTTCGAGAGTGAGCATGGGTGGACTCCAGCTAAAGCACCATGAGCCTCGGAATTCTAGTTCTGGGGCTTTTCTTAACTTATAGCAGATCAAGTTTCTTTTCCCAATGCCTTTCTTTCTTTCTTTTATAAAATGAGGCTGGAGAATGGCATGTTGGTCAGATGCTTCTCTCTCGAATGCCAAGGAGTACAAGTCTTCTTCCCTCCTTTCCCTCCTAACAAGTCGCTCAGAATAGCGTGAAGAAAAATTAACTTTCTTCTTCCTCTCCCATACTACTTATCTGAAGCCCTAGAGTGGAGTCCAATCTTGGATTCAGTTTCTTCTGTCTTTAATGAGCATTTTGGAAACAATAAATGGTAAGGCCATTTCCTCCACACCACAAGTCTACTTAAACAGAAGAAATTCATCCCTAAGTCAGAACTTTTGGATGAAATGCACTAAAGGAGGGCCTTAGTCACCCATCGCATCTTTCCATGGTCATTTCTATTTCATACTCCTGTAAAGCTCTTGAAAACTTGATATGCTTTGGTAGTTTTTATGTTTTAATGGGAAGTTGAACTATAATTTGCTTAAGGAGAAAGTTATTCTACAGATCCAGAATATCGCCATCATTCCTTGTTTTAAGGAGTATTATGTGAACACATCTTATCACCCTAAAGTTTAATGTTTATCTGAAGAAGACATAGCTACACAGCTGTGGTATTTAAGACAGCTGATGCATTTGGATCTGGTGAAAAGAGTTAATTTCTTTAGATGAAATACCCTATGATTTAGCATCAATTAGTAAGTATTTATTAAGTACCTACTATGTGCCGTGTTAGGGAGACAAGTTAAAAAATGTGTTTGTGTTCAAATGGAGGAAACAATAAGTACATAAAAATATGTAGCATAAATAGTCAATACCTACAAATGTTTGCATCACTTCTTTAAATTCATATTATTCTACTGCACATTCAGCTACAGAGAAGAAGACCCCAGGAAGCCAGGTTGATTTTAGAGGGACCTAGTTTATCATTTGCCTCCTAGGATTCTGTTGAATGGATAGAACTAGTGAGGTGGTTAGAATTTACCTCCCTCTCAAGGATCTCTCTGCACTGCTGTGCTCAGTAAACATAGACGTGTATCTGAAGTATTTTTCACTGCATGAAGACTGAGATGAGATAGAAATCAATGTTGTTAATAGTTCGTGATTTAGGCTGTAACTGAAGAAAAATTCAATACTGACTCCTTACATTGTAACATGAAGGTCATGATTCCTTTGGTTTAGCAATCGGAAGTTTTGGTAGATTGTGAGTAAAAGGCCCTGCAGCTGACTGGTAAAGGGTATAAACATGGCAGAAATGATTGTCAGCTTGTTTGGCTCCAGAGAATAGACAGAGGAGCCTTCCCGTTTTTTGGAGAAATGGGGGACTACGGGGGTGGGAGAAATATTGCACAGCATGTCAGTGATTGTGCCAGTTTTGTAGAACTGTATGGTTTTTAAAATCTTTGTTAACAAGGGAAGGCTCAGTGAATAAAGGGGAGAGGTATATTCAGAAATGAATGTGATATAAAAACAAAAGCAACAACAAAACTTAAAAAAATTGTTGGCCTACACGAAGCCTCACAACTTCACATCTATTCAACAGTCAGGGAAATCAAAGAAAGTACTTGCTGTTTATTGATTGTGGGGAATGTTATATTGAATGAAGTGTTGCTGATTTACTCTTGGGATCTTATGAAAGAAGTGAAGCAATTTCCCAACTGTCATCGATGTATGGATATTTTGATAGGCTTCTTGTAAAGAGGCTGCCAAGATGGAAGAATTCATATTTATATTTGATAATGGGCACAATTCAATTTGGCAGTTATTGAGTACCTACTATGTACTGAGCATTGACTGAAGAATTGGGGCAGGGATGGAAGGAAAGGTGCCCTTGTGGGATTTAAGAATTTGTAGTCTGTAGCCTAAAGGAGGATATCTCTCCCTCTGTTAGCATATTGTATAAACCAAAACTTTAAATCCCTTTTTTTTCTCTACCCTGCAGACTTTTGTTAATTGGAAAGAGGCTAAATTGACATGGAGTTTCTTCCAACAATCCTTCCTGAAACAGATTTTGACAGAAGGTAAGTAAAATAAATAGCAGGTTTTCTTTGAGCTGTCATGGAGCCATAATTTGATTTGGATAACAGATCAAAGAGGGAAATTTCCTAGGACTGAAAGTAACTTAAGTCCAAATTAACAAGTCGTTTAATATTTCTCAGTGGAATTTCTGAAAGATAAATTTTGAAGTAAGTAAGATGTAACAACAAATAGGGGTCCTTATTTAACAATGACTTCACAGAATTGCAGAATTTTAGAGTTGGAAGGAACCTGTAGTCCAACTTATGCCTCAGAAGAAATCCCCATTACAATATGATCTTGGGTTGCATTAAAAGAGGCATTGCTTCCAGGAGGAAGGAGGTAATAGTCCTAGTGAGCAGACGTCCAGCATCTGCTTAAAGACTTCCATTGAGGAGGAACCCACTGACTCCCAACAGTCCCTTCCACTTTTGTATGGCTCTAATTGCTAAAACAGTTTTTCTTAACATTAAACCTAAATTTTCCCTCTTGAAATTTCTGCTTGCTAATCCTGGTTTTGCCCTCAGGTCAAACAAAATAAAGCTTATCCTTCTTTTACCTCTTAAATTCTTGAAAGAGGCTATCATGCCCTCCAACTCCTTTCTCCTTCAGGCTAAATATCCCAAGTTCCTTCAGGCAACTTTCATGTGACATGGACTCAGGGCTCTTCACCATCCTGGTCACCCTCTTTTGGATACTCTTCAGCTTATCAATGGCCTTCCTAAAACTGTGGTGCCCAAAACTAAATATAGTACTTCAAATGGGGACTGACCAGGGCACAGTAGAGTAGGCCTGTCACCTCCTTACTCGTAGAAGCAATGTAGCCTCTTTTCATGGAACCTGAAGTTACATTAGCTTTTTGGCTCTTCCAGCATTCTGCTAACTCATCGTCATTGCTCCGGATTGTTTTTGGACAAATTGCTGCCTAGCCATGCCCCAAGTAGAAGACTTTGCCTTTATCCCTGCTGAATTTCATCTATTCTAGATTCAGCCAAGTGCTCTATCCTGTCAATATCTTTTTGGATGTTGACTCTATCATCTAGTTTTTTACCTATTTCACATGGAATAAGGACTTTTATAATTGAAAAGAGCCTCAGAGATGATCTTGTTCAGTCTCTTCACTTTGTATATAAAGAAGGAAAAGGGAAATCACTTGCTCATTGTCACAGAAGCTGATTATTGGTAAAATCAGTACTGGAACACAGGCCTCCTGAATTTCCACTCTTACTTCCCTAGAATTCCATTTTCATATTAAATTATGAATAGACTTTTAAGAACCAGGTTTTTATTTCATTTGCATAGGAAAATAAAATTCACCCACCCACATGATGAGGTCCCAGTCTTAACAGAGGCATAGCTGGGGTACAGACATAATGGTGACAAATTTATTTGTTAGATCATCATTGAGCTAAAAATACAGATTCAGGAAATTGATTGATTGATTCTATGACTTGGATAAAAAACCATTCTCTTTTTTTATACTTTGGTTTCTTTATCTGTAAACTTGGGGGTGGACCCTTCTAATTCTTTGGTTCTGTGATATAAATCAAACTTGGTGCTCTCAGCCTAAATATAGACATTTAGCTTTTTAAAATTAGGGGATTTAGAAACTTCTGGAGGAAATGAATACAAATACTCATTTGTGTGACAGGATAGGAAAAACCAGCACTAACATTTTGTGGACTTGTTAATAAGAGTGCTGATCAGTTTGCCACATTTTAAAATGGGAAGGCCACTGTTTATTTTTTGATAAAGTATATTTTTGCTTATGTGCACCTTTTCTTGGCCCCACATGTTTAATAGCAGTTATAGCAAGCCTATAGGGAGCATATTCAACCTAAACTGTGGCTTATGTTAATCTTCTGCACCACAAATGACCACTAAGTCCTTGTTTATATGAGGTGATATAATCTATAAATTTGTCAACCAAGCCTTAATATGATGGCACATTCATTCTAATTGTAACAGTAGCTAGAACTCACTGAAAGAATACTGCTATTTAAAAGTATGACATTCTTCAAGTCCCTTCCCCTCTGGACTTCACCTTCTTCCTTTGTAAAATGAAAGAGTTCAACCAGGCTGTCTCTGAGATCTCACTTGAGTTTTTCAGTGTAAAAATCAGGGTTGGTAATAGTCATTAACAGTTAACTGATTTATCCTTAGCTACAGAGCAATTAGGTGTCATAGCCAAGATGGGTATGGCCAGGTGTGAATCCTGTGCTTATATTAATAAGGAGCAGTTAGTGATACCACATGTTTGCAGAATTTTGTTTTATTATTTTATGGAATTTATAAAAGCATCTAGAGTCTAACATGAAAAAATTTTACAAACATAAAGCATTCCAAAAAGCAGTTTTGAGCTGTATCCTCAAAGTCACCAAACTGTGTGTACTCTTTGACCCATCAATACCACTACTAGTTATTTAACCCCAAAGAAATTTTTAAAAGATAAAAGGATTCATATGTACAAAAATATAGCAGCCCTTTATGTTATAGCAAAGAACTAGATACTAAAGGGGAATTAAGGGGAATTAATTAAGGAAGTGCTGAACAAATTATGAAATGTGAATGTAATGGAATATTATTGCACTACAAGAAATGACAGGGGCAGCTAGGTGGCGCAGTGGATAGAGCACTGGCCCTGGAGTCAAGAGGACCTAAGTTCAAATCTGGCCTCAGACACTTGGCACTTACTAGCTGTGTGACCCTGGGCAAGTCACTTAACCCCATTGCCTAGGCCCCCAAAAAATTAAAAAAAAAAAAAAGAAATGACAAAAGGAATAGATTCAGAGAAACCTGGGAAGACCTGAAAGGACTGATGCAGAATGAAATGAGTAGAACCAGGAGAATTATTTATATAATGGCTACAACATTGTAAAGAAAAACGACTTTGAATTCCTTGGAATTCTGATTAATGTGATGTTCAGTCCTGACTTCAGAGGACCCATGATGAAGACTAACAGAGAGAGATGATGGAATAGAAGTGCACAATGAGACATCCATTTTCACACATGGCCAGTGAGTGGATTTGTTATGCTTGACCATATTCATTTCAAGGGAAGGTTGACTTATTGTTTGTTTATTTGTTTTTAATGGAAAGGATTTCATGGTGAGAAGGAAACTAGTTAAAATGTCAAAAGAAAAAAAGAGGGTCATTGAGGAATCTTTTACAAATTCACAGAAGAGGACAAGAATTTCAGAGAGACACATAAGCAGGACAGCTTTGAATTGAATTTGAATCCAATATATTGGATCCATTACAGATTTTTTTTTTTAAAAAAGGCTGTATATAATTGATAGTCACATGTAAAATTCTCTTTTTCTGTTCTTTGTATTTGGAAATGTTTATGTTTGTTGGTGTTTGTCAAATTCAGAATGCCAGAAAAATAAAAAGTTTTTAAATGTAAATGTAAATTTTAAACAAGATATGAAATAGTTCTGTGCTAGGCACTGTACTAAGCACTGGGGGATGCAAAGAAAGGCAAAAGACAGGCCCTGTGCACAGGGACTGGGGGATTTCACAGTGCAATTAGAGAGACAACAGGCACACAAATATGTACAAACAAACTATATACAGGATAAATAAATAATTAACAGAGGGAAGGCACTAGAAATAAGAGGCTTTGGGAAATGCTTCCTGTAGAAGGTGGGAGATTGGCTGGGACTTGAAGGAAGCCAGGGAAGCCAGGAGGTGAAGTTGAGAAGGGGGAGCATTCTAATCATGGGGGACAGTCAGAGAAAATGCCTAGAGATGGAGTGTCTTGTTCATGGAGTGCAAGAAGTCCAGTGTCATTGGTTTGAAGAGCACATGGAGGGTAAGGTGTAAGAAGACTAGAAAAGAAGTGGGGTAGGGGTGGGTTATGAAGGGCTTTGAATATCAGATGATTTTGTATTTGATCCTAGAGGTGATAGGAAGTATATGAAGCACGAAGGTGACATGATCAGACTGGCACTTTAGGAAAATCACTTTAACAGCCGAATGGGGGATAGATTGGAGTAGGGAGAGACTTGAGGGGAGCAGATCCACCAGCAGGGTCCAGTAGTCCAAGTGTGAGGTGATGAAGGCCTGCATCAGGATGCTGTCAGAAGAGAGAGAAGGTGGCATGTTTGAGAGATGTTACAACGGTGAAATTGACAGGCCTTGGCAACAGATTGGATCTGGGGGATAAGAGATAGTGAGGAGCCAAGATTGGAGCCTGGAGGACTGGGAGGATGGTGGTGCCCTCAACAGTAATAGGGTAGTTTGGAAAGGAGGGGGGTTTTAGGGAGAAAGATAATGAGTTTAGTTTGGGAGATAATTGAGTTTAAGATGTCTAATGGACATCCAGTTCAGAATGTCTGAAAAGCAGTTGGAGATGCAAGATTGGAGGTCAGCCAAGAGGTTAGGGCAGTAAGTAGCTTTGAGAATCATCATCATAGAGATGATAATTGAAGCCATGTGAGCTGATGAGATCACTGAGTGAAACAGTATAGAGGGAGAAGAGAAGGCCCAAGACAGAGTCCTGTGGAAGAGTGGACTATAAGTGGTTAGTGGACTGACCTGGATTAAGATCCAGCAAAGGAGACTGAGACTGTGGTTATAAATGCTTTTTTTTCCCTTTTAAACAAAATCTATGATTTCATTGGTAAGGGAGCTATACAAATCAATATATTTTTTAAATTTAAATTTTATTATTTTTTTCTGATTACTCAGCATTTATTTTCTCTCCTCCTTTGAACGGTTTAAAAATAAATAAAAAGAAAACCTTCATAACAAATATACATAATCAAGCAAAAAAATTATAAATTATCCGTGGTCAAAAACGTAAGTCTCATTCTGCATTTTAAGTCCATCACCTCTCTGGCAAAAAGTAGTTAGTGTGCCTTCTCTTTGGTCCTCTGAAATCGTGATTTGTCATTGCGTTGATCTGGGTTCTAAAGTCTTTCCAAGTTGCTTTTCTTTATTAAGTTGTTGTCATTATATAATTTTTTCTCCTAAGTCTGGTTTACTGCACTCTGCATTATCTCATAAAGGTCGTCTTGTTTTCCTCTGAAACCACCCCTTTCATCATTTCCTGTGGCACAATAATACTCTATTATTTTCATATTCCATAATTTGTTTAGCCGTCCTCTAAAAGGTAGGCACTCCCTTAGTCTTTGATACTCTGAAGAGAGCAGCTATAAATAACTTTGTACACATGGGTCCTTTTCCTTTTTCCTGGATCTCTTTGGGGTATATACTTAGGTGTAATATCTGGGAGGGGGGTGTCAAAAGTTATGCGCAATTTAGTCACTTTTGGAGCATTGTTGCAAATTGTTTTCCAAAATGGCTGGACCAAATCACAGCTCCACCAAGTGTAGGTTAGTGTGCCTGTTTTCCTGTAGACCCTCTAATATTTGTCATTTTCCTCTTTTGTCATCTCTACCACGGATAGGTATGTTCCCTGCCGCTGACAGTCTTAGATAATTGCCCAGGGCTGGTTAAGTGATTTGTTCAGTGTTAGCTTGACAGCTCATATAGGGTAGAAATAGGACGTGAACTCTGGGCTTTCTGCCTTCAAGGCCATCTCTCTATGCACTCTTGACATGAATACTTTCTATTACATTTAGACCCAGATTTCTTGCTTTATCTTACAACTTAAGGAAATTACTTTGATTTGGAATCTTGTCCTAGATTTCAATATAACCTATTAAAAAAACTTTCAAAATATTTTTTATTGCATTTTGAAGCATTAAACCTGGACTCATGCACAAGGAATTACACTTAGCTGGAGATTAAAACTTTTCACTTTAAAAGTTCTGCCAACCAGAAAAGAGAAACTGGAACTCTCTGTGGTTTAAATGTTAATTATTTTGCTTCTAAACTTACAGGTGAGAGGTATGTGATGACATTTTTGAATGTGTTAAATTTTGGAGACCAAGGTAAGCTTTATCATAGTTAACATTTATACAATAGCACTCAATAAATACTTAATATTATTCTCTCTGGTTTATTACTTTTTGTGAAAATGAAATTGTCAGTTTCTCAAGATACCAAATTGTTGTTCTTTGTAAGTATATGAAAGGTTTAGAATATCTTTTTAAGTGTCTAGTAGTGGTGCTAAAGTGTTTTAGCTATTGAGGTACTCTCCATTACTGCTTTGCTGGGCCCAGGATTCTGATGTGGTAGAGGATGGAACCCAGTGTCTCTAGGCTGAGCTGTTCATCAGTATGTTTTTGTAGCTAGAGATTCCTTTGTGTGTCAGTATGTTTATAGATTATAGGTGCTTTTAAAATTGAATACCTGTTTGCTTAAAGTTAACAGAAATGGAAACTGAATAGAAAAATAAAATGTGTATTGTATAAGTTTTTAAAAACCTGCCACTGTAGAAGATTAAAACAGGACAAAAAGATTAGTAATATTGCATTACGTTCCTTTTTTATTCCACTAGGTGTTTACGACATAGTGAATAACCTAGGCTCACTTGTGGCCAGATTGGTTTTCCAGCCAATAGAGGAGAGTTTTTACATATTCTTTGCTAAGGTTCTGGAAAGGGGAAAGAGTGTCAAGCTTCAAAAACAGGTAGTTTTTGCTCTCACATTAGTTCTAAATTCAGTTCACTTGTTGAAGTGAAGGAAAAAACAGAAATATCAGTTATTCTTTATGCCTTCTAACTGAGTTAAGTGTTCCTTTGAGGTTTTAACCTCCCCTTCTCATCATTCTGTTGCATAGTCCCAGACTCCATATGGTTTTTTGGGGATAGTTCTCCCCATGACCCCATTCTTCTATACTGCTTTCCTATTTCTCTAGTCTGCCCCTGCTTCTTTGTTACTTTTGGGGCCTGTCCTAATCCTGTCTTAGAACTAAAAGAGCTGTCTTACTACTGTGACCCTTCCCTTGGGAACAGCAAAAATTGTATCACATTTCCCTCTTAAGTAGAAGGATATGGGACACCACAGAAGGCCTCAGGATGGTCTATAGGATGAAGAAGTTTAAGAACTGCAGATTAGGCAGAATGGTGAGGAGAAGAGGCTGTCACTTGGTTCCCCTCCCTGCTCTAATGCACGGGAGCTACCAGGACTTGGGCAAAACATTAGATGCTTAGAGACAGATATTCATCTTAAGATCGTACATGTTATATGGCAAACATAGGAAGGATTCCAAGAAATGGAAAAAACCATATAATCTTATGAAACTGCTTCAAAATTCTGATTTGCCTTTGAATTATAATCAGGTTCAGTAATGCTTTTGCCCTGAAAAATCCTAAGAGATTTTGTCAGAAGTGTCAAGATCTATAAATCATGTATATATTTAGTTGTTTGCATGTTGTCTTCCCATTAAAAGGTGAGTTCCTTGAGGTCAGGGTTTGTGTTCTTGCCTGTCTTTATATCCCCAGTGCTTAACAAGTGCTCAGTGTTGTTGTTACTGTTCAGTGATCTAGTATGTAGTCTAATGTTAATACATATTGACAATGCCTTCAGAACACTGAAAACTGAAAGGTTTGGGGTGGGGGGGATGCTTCTGCCAGCAGACATAATAACCTACTGCAGTTTTAATTTGATGAAAAAGTTAAAGGGAAAAGTGAGTGTTTCAAAGAATTTAGTCTCCTTGGGTATTCTATAATGTAACATTCTGACAGTTGAAGTTAATTTATCCAAAAGCAGGTGGAAAAAAACTTCACCTCATATATTGTTCCTCTCCATTTCTCTTCATTTGCTAATTGATGTGAAAACACATTCAGATTACAAAAGCTGGTTCTGGAGATCATTAGACAGCTGTAAGAGTGTATGTACTATACATTGTATATTGATGAGAAAGTCTAGGTTTTTTAGAGTACCAAAAACGGAGATATGTTCCTTTAGATTATGATTCATATGATTTTCTTTACTTTTCTTTCTGCCCCAGGAGGATGTTGCCATGGCAGCAACAGTTTTAGAATCCCTGCTGAAGCTTGTCCTTCTAATTGGTCTGACAATAACTGTTTTTGGCTATTCCTATTCTCAGTTGGCTTTGGATATTTACGGAGGGTCCATGCTTAGTACTGGGTCAGGTATGTTCCACATTTTTACCTAGTTTGTAATTCTTCCTAAAGGAAACAATAATTCATTCATTGTGTCCACACAGGTTGATGGTTTTGTCAGTGGAGGGAAAAACTTCCCAGTGGATAGGGCCCTCATGTCGCCTACACAAACTGCCAGGTGTCCTAATTTGTACTTGGATGACTCTGAGATTCAGCCTGGAGGAGGTAGATAAACCCATCTCAAAGCTATTCTTTCAGACACAAAATGCTTCTTGCAGAGTAATTTTCCAAGTTCCTTTAGAATGACTGTAAAGTGCTAACAAGTTTCTTAGGATAATAAATGCCATTTAAGTCTAATGGCTTCATGCACAAAAGCCTCTAAAGATAACTCGGAGTAATTGTTGAAGAATTAGATGAAACTATGTGAGTGGAGTGTTTATCCCAGTAACTCTGGGTTTAGGAAGAAAAAGATGGTTGGATAGATTTAACTTTTAAGCAACTTAAGACATACAATTTCTCTTAGCAATTGTTTTATATTATTTTAGTTTATGATTTTGTAAAGTAAAGTTCATCCATGTCAAACTGTATCAGAGAGCAGCTTTACCCTCAGATTGGCCATCCATTTGTAGTTTTTCTTCTTAGGTTTAGAAACGTTATTTTAATTCCTCAGATTAGTAGAAGAGAACCGCAAATACTTTTTCTTGCCATTGAGTCTTTGTGAAAAGAAGTCTTTATAAATCATTTATTAAAGCTGTCTGCTATAGTGGGGCCCAACCTCTTGGTGTTGGGGGGAGAGGGAAGACCCAAGTTTGTATAAACGAGAACAAAGGTAATTAAGTTTAGAGAAACAATCACGTTAAGCAGATGAAGTCATTGGCATCATTCTTAGGGTTTGATGTAAGATATACTTGAAGACCTCATTACCATCAGCCCATTGAAGGGAAATCTTAGTACAGAATTTATGTTCAGAGATTAGTGACTCAGCTAATTCCCTGCAATTTTGCCTGTGGAGAGATACAGTCAACAAGATACCAGCTTTCTGTATAGCATTACCATAGTGAGAGGGGTTTGCTGTATCTGGTTTGGCATTCATATAGTGAAATTTTTTTTATTATGAAAGAAACATTGATAGAAAATGGAGAAAATTCTCTGCGGTCCTTTCTGACACGTGAACCAGTGGCACAAGTTAGAACCAGATTTGCTAGTGCCAAGGTGAGTACTCCCAAAGTCTCTAATCTGTCACCTAATGTCACTTCGGAGTCATGAGGGGTTCTGCTAAGGAGTTCTACTCCCGTAAATAACCTCGCAAAGCCTACTCTTCAAGCAGCTAGAAGGAGTTCTAATCTGAAGAAGATGCATTTGCTTTCTAGAGCCTCTCAAAAAGTGTAGCTTGATAAGTATTTATTCAGTTTCAAGGATTTTGTTCTGTCTTGTGTGGATCATTCACCCAGTCTTCCTCATCAGACTGTCTCCTTCCTGACCCTCCAGCTTCTACAAGTTGCTCCTATTTTTTGCTTTGATTTTACTCCCATAAGGGTCCAATGGTTACTTCCTCTTTTAGAGGGGAGAGGGAAAGGTAGGACAGTCAAATCTGTGATTTTATTGAAAAGGTTTGGGAGTCCTGGGACCCCAAGAATGCCAAGACAGAGTTGCCTGGAATGAATTCACACACTCAAGCCTTCTCTTAGTCAAGTGGCAAAGAGTTTATTGTAATGCTTTAGCAAAAAGTGGGCAAGGGTCCTTAGGGAACTTGTGAGAACTGAAGATGGTGCTGGGGTTTATATGGAAAAGGGGCATGAGAAAGGAATGCCAGGGATGCTAATTAGGTAATCTAAGGGTCCAGGTGTCTTTGGGAGCCATGGATAGGAAAGTGTAGGGAGTGTACCACACGTTGAGGGAGTTGTCCGAGGCATGAACCTTGGGAATCTGGAGGGAGGAAGAGTCCTTGGGCAAGCCAGGGAAAAAATCCTTGGGCTGTATATCCCTCTGTCTGATCTGATAAAGAATGTGTTCTGCAACAAGAGAAAATTTTCTCACAGAACAGGGGCCTCCTGAGAAATTGGGAAGCTTCTAGAGACATGATCTTAGGGCTGGGGCCCAAGCACCCTATCATCATCACGTAGGGAGTTTCGATGGAGGAACCCCCTCTCTCAGTGCAGGTCAGCACCGTCTCTGCAATTGATAGTCTTCAAGAATTATCTGAGGCACTGACATTTACCCAACTTGCCCTGCGTCACAAAGCCAGTATATGACAAAGTCAGCGCTTGAACTCCAGTCTTCCTGGCCCCACAGATAGCTCTCTATTCATGCCTCCTCTCCAATAGTTTCGTATTCATATCAAGTCCAGGAGTCAAAACCTTTCACCAGGGTGTACCAAGTGACTTTATTTACTGCACTTTAGCTTGTCTCCTCTGTTCATTGCAGGCACATCAGTTTTGAGTCCCGATCATACACTCATCTCTTAATTTTCAGTCTTATCCTAAACAATGCTGTCACGCATTTAGATTGCCATTTCCTTGTCAGCTTACCAAAGTATCCATCTCTTCTGTCTTCTAAGCCTCAGTTTCCTTATCTGTAAAAGGGAAGAGGGATTAAACTAGATGATCTTCGAGGTCTTTCTCACTTCTCAATTCTTTAAGCTACTTCAATCCTCCTCCTCCTCAGTGAGGGCTTCCTAGATTGATCAGAAAAAGTCTGACAATTTACCATCACTTGGCCTCAGCTCCCAGACCAAGATATGGAATACCCACATAGCAACGTGCTTCCATTTTCCACCCAATTATGTAACTTTTCTTGCTGTCACCACCCAGATATGGATTTTCCCTTGTCCTATATGTAGGTTATATTCTTCCTAATTTTTTCATAAATTATTTTAATCATAAACCTGTAGAGTTAGAAGGAAGGCTAAAAGTCAGTAAGTCCAGTCCCTTTCCCAATATGAGATAATTCAAGAAGAGGGAACAGTAACAACTGGAGAAATCCTTTTTTCCGTATCACTAACAATGTTTTAGTTTTGCCCTCTCTCAGTTCTATTTAGTTTCTCTGAGTCTGAGATAAAACAAATGCAGCTTGATAGTTAGTAGATAGAGTGCTAGGTTTTGGAGTCAGGAAAACCTTGAGTTCAAATTCTGTCTCAAGCACTTACTAGCTGTGTGACCCTGGGCAGCTCACTTAACCTCCCTTTACCTCAGTTTTCTCATCTGTAAAATGAGGATAATAATAGCACCTACTTCCCAGGGTTGTTGAGAGGATAAAATGAGAATATTTGAAGCTTATTACAAACTTTAAAGCATGATAACTTGCACATATTCAACTATATGCCCAGCAAGAAGGAAGAGAGAGAAATACACGTACATATGTGTGTGTGGATACACACACATACACACACCCACACATTACTATATAGGATTATATATACAGAACCATTGGGTAGCCCTGGGTGGTAGGTTCCCACACCCCACCATGGCTTGTTTATGACACTGGCTGCATCTAGACAATGCCCAGGGAAAGCCCAGGGCCACTACGAGCAACTCCCAGGCCCCAAAGTGATTCCCTCCTGATGTCCCCATCCAGGGCGGGTGAGGTTGAAAGCACCAAGAGAGAAAGGCAGCAGTAGGGGATGGAACAGAGGAATAGTAGAATTCTAATTGATGAAGAAAATCTATCTCCCTAGAACGGTAAGGCCATGATTGTTCTCCATTGGGTAATTTTTACTCTACATGCTTTTTGCATTATGTGCTAACTTTAGAACCTAACCCACATGTTAATCACAGTAAGCATTTATTAAGCACCTGCTATGTATTAGGCATTGTGCTAAGTTCTGGAGATACAAAGAAAGGCAAAAACAGTCCCTGCCCTCAAGGAGCCCCCACTCTAGTTCCCTTTTTATAGCAACTAGCACAGCGCCGTACAAAATCAGGTGCTTCATAAATGCTTCTGACTGATGACATGATTTCTCTCACTAAGAGTGAAAAGTAGAAGACTATAAAAATTCCATTTTAGTGTTTCTAATTTCTTATCCTTTGTACCTGAAAGCCAACTCTCCTCTGTAGTGAGAAGAGTCACACTTAAACTTAGTAGCCAGGTGTTTGGAAGGTCATTTCTGACAACTTCATTGAAGAAACGTTGCAAGTATACTTCTTTAAAAAAGAGTTTGCTATTTTTAAAGAGCTGAGTTTTTATATAAGAAGCCTTTTCCAATTTCCCTTAATTCTAGTGCCTTCCCTCTGCAATTATCTGTGATTTGTCCTGTAAGTATCTTGTTTGTGTGTAGTTGTTTACTTGTTGTCTCTCCCTTGCCCCCATATCCCCAGCACTCAGCACAATGCCGGGCACATAGTAAGCATTTAATAAATACAAATAAAATTGTGAAACACAAAGAAATTCAGGAGGCAGAAGTTGCTTATTTGTCTCTCTTGCGATTTGTGTCCATCCTTACATAGCCTTTTGCCGAATCTTTTAATCCAGATGCTCTTTGGTGTTTTTATAGGTACTGATGACCAAGGTCCCATATGGTAATTGTCTTTTTTTTTTTTTAGAAGCCTTTTCTACCCAACTTCCCATCCCAAGGGAAAGCATAATCATTCCTTCATTTCTCCAGGATGGATCTTCATTGTTAGGTTACATATTTCTCTCTTTTCTCCTCCCAAAGCCAGATTGTTCCCAGATCTGGCCCTTCATCGTATGTCTAACTTTCCTTCCTCTCTAAACTTATAAGTAAGATTCTGTTCCCTGGGTCATGCTTGGATATTTCAGTTTCACCATCTTTTCCCTTAGGGAACTCTAGTATTGCCTCAATACCTCAACCCAAATCTATTCTCTCACGTTCTGTGTCTCTGGGTTTTGTTTTATTTTTTACCACTTGAAAGTGCCAGTGTTCTCCTGTCAGATGAGGTTGGAGGCTTCTAGAATGGTGAAAGAGAGAGTTCCAGTATCCCTGTCTTTAAGTAGAGAGGGTGTAAAGGGCAGGTGTAGCAATGACAATAAGGAGTCTTGCATCAAATATAAAACTCACTCTTTGACCCTGATCTTCTTAAAAAATCTAAAGGGCTAGCACTGTAGATTCTACTGCAAGTGGCTTCTTCCAGCAGAGGTGGCAGGCCAGGGTACTTTGCTTTATCTTGTCTCAGGCAGATACTACTGCAGACCCTAAAAAGACATTTGGGGTAATGACTCTTTCTTTAGTGAAAACTCAAGATTGGGATAGTGAAATAATTCTTAGTAGTTTTCCAGACTAAATTGTTTGTATTCATTTGGCAATTTATGATCTTCATAAAATTTTTTGGGGTCCCCATGGGGATATTTCATGTTAACAACCTTTATAAACAGTGGATAAATTCCAGATTCTACAGATCTAGTGCTTTAATCTCATATAAAAAGTTCCCCTTGCCTTGATAGTATCATTTAGAACCTTGTTAGCTAGTTGTGAAATTGGATCTGTTTCATCTTGACCAAGAGTAAGGCACAAGCTTTCGTTCTCATTGCAGATCTATATATATGTTTTTGCCTAGTTGCTTGCTTTTGATCGTTGGCCCTGTGCTTTTTCTCAAAATCTGTTCTTCATGATGGCTTCTACATTTGGTGATCCCTTAGCTTTCATGGGAGTTACTTCTGTGTGGTGCTGAGACTAGAAAATTCCCATGTTTATTAAAAAGTGAGAAAATCCACTTGCTATCCAAACAGGCTTTCAGCTGTCAAGGAAAAGATCTGGACTATTTATTCATAATTGTTCTTTTGTTTTTGGCTGCTTCCTCTGTTCAGTGCCATGGAATACTGGGAATCTTTCCAAATAATTAGACTGTAGATTTGAATATAAAATCTGCAGAAATACTGGTCTTAGCAACAACAGAGAAGAGTACTGGTTTGTTGTTGTTGTTGGTTTTCCTGTGGACACTGAGTAAAACTGAAAGGAAGATGTCATGTTTTTTATCTTTTTGTTTGTGCTTTTGATAAACTTTTGTTTGGCTTTTTGTTTCCAGGTCCTGTTCTCCTTCGATGCTATTGTTTATATGTCCTCCTGCTTGCTGTAAATGGCGTGACTGAGTGTTTCACATTTGCCTCTATGAGCGAAAAGGAAGTTGACAGGTGGGTAACTTAAGAATTGTGAATTTAGGGATGCCCATCAATTGGGGAATGGCTAAACAATCTGTGGTATGATTGTGATGGAATATTGTTGTGCTGTAAGAAATTACAAGCAGGCAGATTTCAGAAAAACCTGGAAAGACTTACATGAACTGATGCATAGTGAAGTGATGCATAGTGAAGTGAACAGAACCAGGAGAACACTGTACACAATCACAATATTGTTTGATGAAGAACTGTGAATGACTTAGCTATTCACAGCAAAACAGTGATCCAAGACAATCCCAGAGGACTAATGATGAAGCATACTATCCACCTCCAGAGAAAGAACTGATATTTGAATGCAGACTGAAGCATGCTATTTTTCACTTTCTTTCTTTCTTTTTCTTTTATTTGAGTCTTCTCATACAAAATAACTAATTTAGAAATGTTTTACATAATTGCACGTGTATAACCTATATCTGATTCCTTACTATCTCAGGGAGCGGGGAGGGAAGGGAGAGAAAGATAGAGTTTCAAACTCAAAACTTTAAATAAATATGTTAAAAAATTGGGGAAAAGAATTGCAAATTTAGATCTTAGTGAAATGATATAATTTATGAATCTATCCACCTCAAAGTGAGGTTCTATTTATCTTTGTATCTTTTCAAAGTAATAGATTGTTGATATCTCCCATGATATAGATATGATACAATTAATATTTTTTATTAATATCACAATCCATTGAAAGCAGGGATTGTCTTTTACCTCTTTTTGCATCCCTGGCACCAAGTACAATGCCTGGCACAGAGTAAGTACTTAATGCATTTTTATTCATTGATAATATCATATCTATTATGTAGATAGGCAGCAAATTCTGTTCTTGTCAATAATTGAACATCAAGAGGGCATCAAAAAATTAGTCAACTTTTCCAAAATCACAAAGTAAATCTGAAGAACTAGGAAAAGAACTCAATCCCTTCCCATTCTGCGTTAACAGAATGTAGACCCATTAGGGTAGGTCAGTTATCCCTTTTGCCCTAAATTCCACAAGTGGGGAGTTAGCACAGAAATGCCATCTGTAGGCATGTGTATTTGAAAATGGGAGACTGAAAGAGAAAAGTAAGAGAAACAAGAGAGGAGGGGAAGGAAAGAATGTTACCTACTGTGGCCTACAGTAGTAATTGCGTGGATACTTCTGATGTCTTCCCTATTGGATCATGGCCCCCTCTATCTTTTACTTAGCACAAGAAGTTCTTAACTTTGTTGTGTAATGGATCCTTTGGCAGTCTGGTGAAGCCTATGGACTCATTCTCTAAATAATATCTTTTTAAAAATTCGTAATTGAAGGAAATAAGAAATTTCAGTTAGAGGTCAGTGAAAATAAAGATGTATTTTTTTTTTCCCATCCAAGTTCACAAGATCCCCTGAAATCTCTTCTGTAAATATGCATCCATAACCTTAATGTCAGGTTAAGAATCCCTGACTCAGGGATACTTAAGTGTATATCTATATAATATTCTGGCTTGTGTCGATCTTCTTAAATGGAAAAGTTCTTTTGTTGTATTGTAATTTCAGCATTATTGAGGGTTTTTTCCTAGTTTTCTATATATCTGTATCTACTTATCTCTGTGTGTGTGTGTATACACATATACATATGTATACGTATATATACATACATACAAACATATTACACAGAGAGAGAGAGAGAGAGAATGAGAAAGCACTGAATGCTGTATGTGAGAGAGTCAATTAAATGCCAAACCTGTTAAAATGGGAGGTAGGGGGAAGACTGGTTACAACCAAACTGTGAAATGTAGACACTGGCTATTTGCTTTCCCCCCTCGTCTATTCCAGTTAAATTCCATTGTAATGAACCAAAGGAAATTCCTTTTATTTTGCTTGTAGTGGAGTTCTACAACATCTACATAATTATTTTCATGTTAATATTCAATACTAGTGCTAGGCAGATTGCCTTCCTAACAGAGCTTTCATCTAACTTTTAACTTTCTTGAAAGTAAAAATATTGGGGTTAGGCCAGCAGACTTTTTTCCCCCAAAATTTTCATTTCTATTCTGTCCTCTCCCAACCCCCTTCTTACCTGCTCTTCTAGCTTTATTTCAGTAATGGACTTGAATTCGTTTCGACAGACATCTATCAGACACCTCCTTTATAGAGAATACTATGCTAGGTACTGGAGAGGATGGAAACTTTTGCCGATATTAAGTCCTTACCTGCTGTTCAGTCTGGTAGGGAAATAAGATACATACACAAATAATGATCACGTGCAACAATACAGTAAATGCACTTGAGAGGTACAAAATAAATTGCTGTGTGAGGTCCAAGGGTTTAGACAGAACTAGATTGGTTAATAGTGTTAAGATCAATAGCAAATACTTTGGATGAAAATAATTGTGGAATGGGCTATTAAATACCTTATTCCCAGAGTAGTTGTGTGAAAAATAACTAAAATTATTTCATCATTTGACATTATTAACTGTGAATTTTTTTAGCTAAATGGAAGAAAAACTCTTCTATTTGGGTGATAAATATAGTATAGTAAAAAGTTAATGGAAAATACTGGAAAAATGAATATTAAATGAATCAAGCAGAGCTTGGTCAGTGTGGAAGAGAACTTTTTAGAGAAGCTGTGTTTTTGCCTTACCATTTCAGTTTTATTTCAGTCAGCAGAAAATAAACATAGAGCTCGGATTCTTTACACCTCTCAGTCAGCTGTGTGACTGTGAAGATGTGGTCTCCGAAAGAGAGCAGGGTGGTAGCAAAAGTCTGGTTATATGGACCCTTTCTCATACTTTGGTCAAGAACAATCTTGGTACCTACATAGACCAGTCTCTTAAAGATTTTAGAGAGATAGGGAAGTGGGCAAATGGATCATTAGGTAAATTCAATTAAATATTGATTAAGTGCCTATTTCTGTGTGCCAGGCACTCTAGGAGGTACTAGAGATAGGAAGGCAAGAACAAAACAGCCTTTGCTATCAAAGAGGCCACTAGGGGGCGCCGCAGTGCACAGCTCTCCCAGCCTGGAGTCAGGAGGACCTGAGTTCAAATTTGTCCTCAGGCACTTACTGTATGACCCTGGGCAAGTCACTTCACCTCTGCCTGCCTCAGTTTCCTCAACTGTAAAATGAGGATAATAACAACACCTACTTCCCAAGAGGTAGTGAGAATCAAATAAGACAATATTTGTAAAGTGATTATTAGCACAGTGCCTGGGACATAGTAAGCACTTAATAAATGCTTATTCCCTTCTCCCATTCCCTCCTTTCTTCTGGAGAAATCAAAACAGGCTTCCTCTATGTTTATTTTCTGCTGACTGAAATAAAATTGAAATGGTAAGGCAAAAACACAGCTTTCCTGTAGAAAGTACCACCTGAGCTGAGAGCTGAAGGAAGCTAGGGATTCTGAGAAGCAGAGATGAGGGGAGATAGCATTTCAGGCATGGGGGACCACTTGCTCAAAGGTACAACGAAGGGGAAAGGAAGGTCAAGTTTGCAGAATAGGAACTAGGCCAGTGTGACTGAAATATAGGGATTTTGAAGGGGAAATCAATCAGTAAGTATTTAGAAATTGCTTACTATGTGACAGGTAAGGTGGTAAGTGTTGGAGGTTCAGAGAAAGATAAAAACAGTCCCTGCCCTCAAAGGAACGAACATTCTAATGGGGGAGACAGTGTATATGTAAATAGGTATAAACAGGAGAGGATAAGTGGGAGCCACTTGGCCTTAAATACCAGGCTGAGGAGTTTATATTTTATCCTTGAGGCAAGTGAGAGCTGCTGAAGATTTTTGAGCAAGGGGTGGATGTTTTTCAGACCTATGTATAAGGAATAGTAATTTGGTAGCTGTGTGGAAGATAGATTGGAAAATGAAGAATCAGAAATAGGAAAACCAATTAAGAGGCATTTTGCTTTTAGCCTAGGGAAGAGGTGATGAGGACTTGAACTTGGAGTAGCAGCTCTGCAAATGGAGAAAAGGGACGGATGCCAGAGATGTTGTAAAGGGAGAATCAATAGGATTTAGGATCTGATTGGATATGTCAGGTGAGGGAGCATGGAGAGTCAGTTACTTACTCTAAGATGGGAAACCTGGGTGACTGGAAAAATGGTGGTGTCCTCGATGGAAATTGAGAAATTTGGAGGAGGAATAGGTTTAGGTGGAAGATAATAAATTCCATTTTGAGCACGTTAAGTTTGATGTGCCTAAAATGGCATCCGGAAAGACATGTCCAGTAGACAGCTGATGATGTGGGACTTCAGGAGAAATTAGGGCTGAATTTATGGATTTGGGAACTCTCTGAATAAACCAATAAACACTTACTAAGCACTTGTTATGGGTGTCATGTGCTAGGCATTGTGGATACAAATCCAAAGAGTGAAATCCCTACCCTCAATCTTTTTTTGGTACTTGAAAGTATTTTATTTTTTTCCCAATTAATGTAAAGATAGTGTTCATCATTCATTTTTATAAGATTTTGAGTTCCAAATTTTTCTCCCCCCCCCCAAAAAAGGCATGCAATCTGATACAGGTTGTACATGTACAATCATGTTAAACATATTTCCACATTAGTCATGTTGTGAAAGAAGAATCAGAACAAAGGGGAAAAACTACGAGAAAGAAAAAACAAAAAAGGGAAAATAGTATGCTTTGATCTGCATTCAGACTCCCCAGTTCTTTCTTTGGATGTGCATTCAGACTCCCTAGTTCTTTCTTTGAATGTACATTCAGACTCCCCAGTTCTTTCTTTGGATGTGCATAGCATTTTCCATCACGAGTCTTTTGGCATTGTATCATTGCATCACTGAGAAGAGCCAAGTCTATCATAGTTGATCATCGCTCAATGTAAGCAGCTTGCATTCTAGTGGGAATTGAACCCATGGGAGTGGATGAAGTCACTAAGGGAAACAGGGTCTAGAGAAATACGGACCCAGGACAGATCTTTGGGAGACACAGAAGGAAGTTGGACAATGATGGATCAGAGCAAACAGAGAAGGGGCAGGTAGGT